TTCATTTGTTTATTCTGATTTTTATTTTTATTTATTTATTAGTTTTATCATGAATTAAAGGTATGTTAACACTCTTGTTAGCATAAAGACCAAATCCCAAACTCGTTTTTCATTTTATTTTTATGATTTTATTTTCATTTTTAAGAACCCTCGATATGTTACCCTCGACCCTTGACATATTACCCTCGACCCTCGACATATTACCCTCGACCCTCGACTTTGTACCCTCGACCCTCGACCCTCGACCAAAACCCAAACTCCTTCATCAGGGGTGATCTAAACGCTGCAACAAGAGGTCCTTTTATATGATCACTAATTAGCGGCCTTTTTTCTGACGAGGTGTAAATAGGCGTCAGGAAGTAGACCGCCATCGTCACGATTTAAAGGAGCGTGGGCGGAGTTAATGTGCCAAGCCTCCAAACAAAGGCGCTGGTGGTAACGCCAATTAGTGGTGATAATTTTAGAATTATCCCACCCAATTGTATGGTTGGTTAGGCAAGTATGCTCCGATAAAGCTGAATTTTCCTTTTTGCAAAGAAAAACCGCTTTTTGGTGCTCTTTTAACCGTGTACCAAACTGGCGTTTGGTCTGTCCGATGTATTCGTTGTCACAGTCATTGCAGGGAATAGAATAAATGGCGTCGGTTCGTTGAACTTTAATATATGTTTACCCGTTGTAAATACTGCGTGTTATGAATATGACCAGAATTTACATTAACAGCGTGAATTTTTTGAAGCGGAAAGGAAAGAAAAAATTGGTTGTTCGTACTTTTTACTTAAAATAGTTCTCACCATGTCTTTTATTCAATTTTTTGTGGGATGACGCTTAATTACCTTTTTCACCAAAAATAAGCAGATCAAAATTTTTACAAAATGACGATGAAAAGTCATCTTTTCGACGTGCAAATAAAATCGAGCACCTTTCTCTCTTATACAATAACCATATTGAATGTCCAAAGCTAGAGATACTGCTGGCTACAAAAAGGATAGTGTACTTTTTCTTGAAAGCGTCGAAACTATTCGGTCTAATATTGCATTGTTTTACTTCATCGCTCCTTATGAATGGTGTAGAAAACTTGCGCCAACGTTTTAATGGACAGAGACAAGCTAAAAACAATCAACGGTGGTCACCTGTTTTACTTTGAAGGATCAGCGGCACCTGTCAATAAATTCCTCGGTTCTGTTTGGTTTTCATGCCCCTGAGATGATTAATTTACTTGAGAATGTGACACCTGCAAATAACAAAACCGAGATCTTACGCTTGGCAGGAAGTTAGTCATGTTGGACATCACCGGTGAGTCAAACGCTCCTCCAGCTGCCCACGAAGCTTAAAAGGTATAATTAATATAAGGCCTTCCACTTTTGTTTTACAGCTACAATCAACACCTTTCATTTTTGGAAACCAATTGAACGAAGATTTCCTCAGAAAATAAGTGGGAACCAATATACTTCATTTGACACAAGCCCATTAGAAACCAGCTTAGGACAAACATTCGTCTCATCATTTGAAATAATAGAAGAAAAGCAAAGTTGCGACAACAACGATAACACTCCAAATAAAATGGCCGATCTACCATCACGCAGTGTAGCTTTGACCATCGTGGAGTCCAGCTTTATGATTGCGCTGAATATTATGTCTCTGGGAGGCAATATCATGGTGTGTATAGCCGTGTACAGGAATA